ATATATATATATATATATATAAATACTAATATATGTATAAATTGGTCACTTACAGGATCACTAAGTGACTAACTAACCAACAATCAAATTCATGGTTTTTACACTGACCATGTTAGTAACTGGTTACATTAGTCATTTACATCAGTAACCTTTTGACAAAATTACATTTTTTTATTTATTATTTTGATTTAAGTAGTATCAAAATGAAGAATCGCTCCTCTTACTTGAGTAAAATCCGGGGCTGATGCATGTAAGTCAATCCAGTAAATAAAGAAAACACTTTTGAACCTCACACAGACAGTCAGCTAGCCCAAAGTTTTACTGATATAATTTTATTTGGGTTTTTTTGCACATAAGCTTTGCTTTTTATATTAATTCTATCTGCAAAGCTTTTCGTGAAATTTAAAGGGTTTAGGTAATATACAGTTATATGAATATCTGTAGGTAGTTAATCCTGTCCTAAAATATATGCATTACATTCTATAATGATCTATCCATGCGAGGGGTGCTGGTGCCTATCTCCAGCTGTCTACGGGCGAGAGGTGGGGTACACCCTGGAAAGGAGGCCAGGTTATCACAGGGCAACATAGAGACAAACAGGACAAAAAAACCATTCACTCACATCTATGGAGAATTGAGAGAAGCCAATCAACCTAACAGTCATGTTTTTGGACTGTGGGAGAAAGTACCCGGAGAGATACTGTAATGATGATGGGTAAATAATGGTTTCATAAGTTTTATGTAAGAAAATTTTTTTTTTAAGATTTTCTTTCCATTTGAGTTTGCACTTTTCGTGTTATTTTTTTTTTTATTTAGGTTTTTTGTTGTTTCAATTTTTTAAAACTCCAAAATGTAATTTTTTCATATAGTTACAAAGATAAGTGTGTCAGCTACTAAGTTATCTTTTTATAAAATAATTTTTTTTACTCTAAGTTGAGAAATGTTTTGGATGGCTACTTATAGCCTTATCTTAAGTAAAAATATGTTCAGGAAGAGCTACTCTAACTTGAGAACAAAAATAAAACAAATCAATGTTATATAAAAATGTTGACCTTCAAAGGCCAACTTATGAAGAATGGTTGAGATCAAAATGAAAAGTTTCATGGTTTTATCTATCAATGCTGATGTTTTTATTTCCTTTTATATCCACAGACGATTGGCATAAACAGATTTAAAATGTTCCACAAAATATTGAAAAGAAGGGATCACTTTATTTAAAAGAAGCAGAAAATCAACCAAACCAACACAAACAAGTCATCACAAAGATCTTAGTAGTGCAATAAAGTTTTGTTTTGGTTGGGGATTATCTATGCTTGTTGACCGTTTTTTTTTTTTTTTTTTTTTCTTTTTCTCCGGTCTTTGATATTTCCACCTAAGAGCTGCAGCATTGCTCAGTTTTTCTTGATGAACCACATTCCATTCATAAATCCCCTTTCCAGCTAAATGATCAGAGTTGGCAGAACACATCAAATAAACAAACTACACAATAGTTAGAGCAAGTTATCTTTAATGGCAGCTAGGAACTTCAAAGACATTTTTAGGATCTCAATACAATGCATCAGAGACAGCACTTAGAGATAATTTCTAACATGATTATACACAGAAAAAAACCATGTTTGCTTATTTATTGGGGAAAAAAAATCAGAGTAGTTCAATATTATAACTGCATATTTTGCAGCAATCATCACTTGCACAGAAAAATGGTCAGATATCTTTTACTTTCTGTTCTATGGAATATATTTCACTGTTAACACTGTTTTTAAGCTCAAATATGCACATGCACCGACGTGTAAACCAAAGTACATTTTCTTTTCTTCTCTCTTGGGAAACTCTCTTTTTTTAAAATCTGCATCACATGACATCATGGGAATACTGCAGTTCCCTCGCAGTGAGGGTGAAAGGTGATCTTATCGCTGTCAAAGTGCATCTCTAATGGTCTTCATAGGATACATCTAATAATCTACAGAAGTGTTTGCATTTGCAAGCGGCATTAAGAGCAAAACCATCTCTAATAATTACCTGATAGTGATGATGAGGGTGATTTTGTTCCTTAACCTTGTAATTAATGTCCTAGGATAGACTCTGAGTCAAACCATACAGTGGTGTTAAATTTAAGAAAGGACTCAACTCATCCTATGTACTCACTTTACAAGATGAATGGTCCGCCAGCTGATGATATCTAATGTTTTATGAGAAAAGCATCTGTGCTAAAGTGTTATTGCAGCATTAATGCATTTAATATGAAAAATTCCGTCATTAAGAGTAGATGGGAAAATGAGTTGCAATGATGCACGTTTGTTGGATTTATATAATCTTTGGAAAAAAACTACAATCTTTATGCAGGTATTAAAGATACCTTAATATAACCCCACATTCTCTATTCAAACTGATTTTTCTTGTGCTAAGGTATTACTCTAACTTTAAATGCTGTGCTTTAATTGGCTAGGATCTGAAGATTGTACAACGATAGACTTAATGAAAAAGACTTTGTGTAATTGATCAATATATTGTTTTACTTAGCGATTTGAATCACTGGGATAAATGTACCTAAAGGACATTTAAATAATATCATCATTTATGCTATTAGTTTTTTATTTATTATAATTTGTTTTTTCTATCAAGTCCAGGTTATTTTCTAACACGCTACCTCACAGCAAACCTGGCAGCCTACAACAACACTACTAAACTTTATTTTCTAAAAAAAAGTTTGACCTCTTCCTAGACTGGAAATTTAGTCAAAATTTTAGCCAGTTAAAAAAACATACTACTGTAATTGTGCACATCTGTAATGTTGCTGCTATTTTCAAATATCCATACTAAAAAAATATCCATAGCTGTATATTGTTTATTTATTCTCCAGGTTCACAGTCTTATATTGTTAAAACACTTAACAGTACAGTATTTTATTTGTTTATTTTTGAACTCTTCACTTTTATGTTATTCTTATACACTCTCTAAGGTCCACATTTGTGTGACCATTTTTTTCCTATTACCTTTTTGGTGGCTGTAACACCACAATTTCCTGCAATAAAGATATTTTCTATTCTATTGTTCATATATAGATAGGCATTATTAAAGCTTACATTTCCTTAAAGCTTTTTTTTTACTGGGGACCTATTCGAAGGTTTCTGCTGCATCAGTTGATGGTGTTCTTCTTGCTTCTTGCTTTTTATATTATTTGCATTTCCAGGTTTCCTTTAACATTTGCTGAAGATTTACATCTGTGAATATAAAACATCAACAGCAACTACAACAGTCTCTAAAAGCTTTTTAACTTTAATCTTCCGAGCACAATCAATATGGGACAAATGGGTTTTAAACCACTCACCAAACTCTATCATAATCCACTTATATACAAAGATTCTACTTTTGCCACATAAATTCATGTTAGTTGCAAATACAATTCCCGCATAAGGATTTACTTTAGATACATGTATGCATTAATTTCCTTATGTGAGAAGCATTAATTTATTAGGACGTTCTAATAAACATATGCTTGGACACATGAAATTAAGAGTCCATCAAAGGAGTCATAATGTTTTACCTCTAACTTTATCAGGAAGCTTATACATTAAGATCAATTTAATGAAATTACATAATTTGAAGCCCGCAAGGGAGAAAATAAGTGATTAAACTTTGGAGCACTTTGGAAAGATAGAATTTCTGAAATTGCTTCACCAGTTAAAAACAAAAAGCACAAGAAAATAAAACAGTTGAAAATAATGGATTCATAAAATTAAAACTCATGTTTTAATTAAAGAAATTCATTTTAGGACTTTTTAAAATATCTTGAGCTGTTTTTTAAGAAAATAATTACTTGTGATCATGCAAGAATTAGCATAAAGACAGTCCAAACCTCACTGTTACTGACTGAAGAGATCCCTCCTCATAATTCTAACCGTCAATACTGTGATCAGCCTTTTTGCCTAAAAATAAAATAAACTGGTTAACAGTGTGATTAATCCAAAGCATTTTAATATTTGGATTTTTCATTTGTACCAAATAGGATAATAGTATTTTTTAAATTACACAATCTGAAGTGGACTTAAAAATGATTTGATAAATAGCCTGTACTTTTATAACACTTAGAGGCTTAAATGCTCATGAGTCACAGCAGTACCTTTTGATCCACCGTGTTGCGCTTCGTATAACTTGCATAAACCTTCTGCTTCTTCTGCTCAGTTCAAGAACGCCTAAGTGCCTTAGGCAACATTCAGTCATTCACCTATTCATTTACACACACGGATGCAGGCAAACTACATTGTAGCCACAGCTGCCTTTGGACACACTGACATTAAAACCAGAACCTTGTGATCAACAACAGCAAGCAAGCCAGGAGAAGTATCCAAGGATACAAACACACAGATAAAGAAAGCAGGGATTCAAACAGGCAACCCACTGGCTACAGGACAAAGCCCTACATCATGACCACCATTACCCAAATAAACGTCATTAAAACTAGCCGAGTCAAAACAAATTCATGACTAATTTTGAGCTCAGCATTCCATACCAGGTATCAGTTCAGAGGAATTTCCAGAATGATAAAAGCCATTTTAATACTGCTAACCACCCTGAATGCTGATTGACATTAAGCTGTCAAAGAACAACAACCAGATATCTGAGGCCAAAACGCAAACAGGAGCTAATACTGAGATGTTGACCTTTTAAATGACACGTATTATCCAGAGCAGGTAGAGACAGGTATCCCTATCCAGTTGTCAGTTAAAGCTTATAAGTCTTTGCAATGCGAATGTGGATATCAACAGGTTAGATATAATAACAGACATTATTGGATAATCTGTTGTATAATCTTTATAATCTGTTTAAGTGGAAGTAATTTAAATCAAACAAGAATAGAGAACAGAACCTTAATGAGACTGTGAACGACATTTTCCCCCATGACATTTACTTTTTTGAATCACCTTATAGGCTATGGGCTTGATATAAAAAAATAAATAAATAAAGATGCCATGAAAATCATACCTCCAATTCAGACAAGTCTCCTCTAATCTGGAATTTAATCTAAAAATAAATAAAGAAATAAAGAAATAAAGAAATTTAAGTGTTAAAACATTTGAAGGAAACAGAGAAAAATAAATTAAGATAATTCCAGGACACATTCGCATGTTATTTGAACAGATAGCAACAGAGGCACTATGATAGATAAATATTTAAAGGACTGTATACCTTTTGGTGTGGAACTTTATTTAAAAAAAAAAAAGAATAAGGAATATTTATCCTGGATATAATACAGGGATTTCTCTGGTCGAAATTAAAAAATGTTTTGCATCACATCTCGTGAGCTGAAAGAAATGAAATACAGAAAGATTGGCAAAAACATTTTTTCCACTTGGCTGATAGTGTTTTTCAAAGACATTCTAGCAAAGGGCAGCTGAGCGCAGACGAATTTGTTGGTAAGCACAGCTGACAGAGTTTATTAGAGTTTAGCCTGAATCAGACACGTATTTTATGAAGCAAACTTGGAAAGAGCAAACCAATAGCTATGAGATTTAAATGTTACAGACTAGTTTCACTTTGTGGTAAAGTTGGTAGCGCAAAGTATCAGGTTCCTGCTTACTTTCAACATTACATATATATATTTGTATCTGTTCAGCTTAATGTCTACTAAATGACATTAACTATTTTCATAAAGGAAAATTAATTTCTAAACAAATATGTATCAAATCAAATAGTGCTTTAATTGCCAGTTGTTTTTCACACACCTGGCAAAAATGTGTTTCTGATAAGATATTGGAAATAATAGAAAATTAAGGCTACCAATAAAAGGAAAATATTTTATTTATATTTTAACATATTTACCCTTCTCTATTATGACCCAAAATATCTGTACTGGAATTAAAATAAAACAATCCTTCATCAACAATGAAAAAAGGTTGGCGTCTGTTTACCTTTCTATTGCCTCCATTAATGAGGACAAATAAGCATGTTATTACAAGAATATTAGTATTAATCTTGCAGATCAAGATAAATAAGTTGCAACGGAATTTTACCCTGCAGCAACACGAGGTTCAAGCTCTGGCTTTCAGTGTTGTGTCCTTGAGCAAGACACTTAACGTAACTAGGGTTACGGCAGCCTCGCTTATGTCAGTGAGCGCCAGGGTGACCTGTGACCATCCATGTGTGTGGATGGATGAATGACTGAAAGTATTGTAAAGCGCTTTCGCCTCCTGACTTGAAAAAGCGCTATATAAGTGCAGGCCGTTTACCATTTAATAATAAAGATACCTTGATTATACAGAGGAAGTTCATTAAAATTTCTGGGTTTAACAGTATGTGAACAATTTCTGTTTCTCCTAATATAATGACTCATAGCCACAATGACTCCTTCAACGGATTGTTCTCTAGCCAAGACAGAATACTTACAGAAAGGTGTTGTGCCATGAGCCTGTTGCTGTTAGGTGTAATGCTTCCTTATAATGAAAAACACATACTTTCAAAATTAACTGACAAACAGTAATGTTGTTTAACCAGATGATGGTTAGTAGTAGATGTAACATTTCAATACCTGGTGCAAAATGAAGACTTAACTAATTTCTTTTTTTTTTTCTTTATTATATTTGGTAAATTGATTTTGAGAATAATAAATCTGTCTTTTTGCAGAATTGTAGTTGCGGTCACAAGCTAAAATGTCCCTCTTTAATTTTTTAGGAAGGTACCGTCCAGGCAGAGACAAGCCTGATCCTAAGACGTGGAAAGCAAACTTCCGATGTGCCTTGAATTCCCTGCCTGACATCTGTGAGCTGCGGGAACACAGCAGGAAGAGAGGCAGTAATGCCTACAGAGTCTACAGAATGCTGCCCAGTTCTCAAACACGCAGAAGAAGAAGAGGTAAACTATTTAATCGGCTTCCCTATTTTCATCTGGACAAATTATTTTCAACATCCAATCCAATCCTGAGCTCTTCTTTGCTTCATCAGGACTGTTCAGCAGACCCCAAGAGATACAGAGAGGCTTAGGAGACCACAGAATCGACAACACATATACCTCACAGCAAACCTGGCAGCCTACAACAGCACTACCTGTGTCAGAACCACCGCATAAGCTGGAGACAAGCGCACAACATTGCTTCAACAGCCATGAAGCACATGGTAAGATGTTTCATTATGTGTACTCATTTTATCACTGGATGTTATTATTAATGGTCCTTTCAGTTCAGTGGTTATGAGTTATTGTTGTTTTGCAGGTCTGTGGGAGTCCAAACTTGAGGAACAGGAACCAAGTGAAGCGGCCTATAAGGTAAGCCATTGTCTTAGAATGAATCCAAGTTTTTCTGACTGAAAATAGACTAAAAACAAAACAAAAACAAATTTGTGTCTCTTTATCGTAGTGTTTTGTCTGTTGCAGCTAACTGACCATTTAAACACTGAGCAATGGAACCAGACTTGGGATCAAAGAGGATGGAGGACGCATCCTCCGTGGGACCAACAACAATGTACAACACTTTTTTTTTTCTTACCTTGGCTGTTCTTAATTATAAGAAGTTAATTAAATATAGTTATAATGCAAAGTGTCATAGTTTCATGCATTCGAAGACCTTATATTTTAACTAAGGTCTTCGAATGAACCTTATATATTTTTTTCATTATATACTTTTTACTGAATATAAGAGACTCTTAGAAGAGTCAAACATACAGGAATAGTCAGTCTCATACTTACTAACACACATTAATTGGAACTAGGGCTGCAACTAACTATTATTTTGAAAATCAGTTAATCTGTTGAATTTTCGATTAATCATTTAATAAACGAACAGTACAAAGGTCCCTAAAGAAGATTTTTGTGAAAATAAAGCTTTTCCACTTAAAGAGATCTGGATAGAGGATATTGACAGACGAAAAAGATTTTTATCTTAAATGCAAAATGAACACAATTTTTTTTTCTTTACAATTTTGGTATCATTGCTCCTCAAGGTGGCTTGGTATGTCAGCTAAAGACACATTTTACAGTCTCTATACTCCAGTTAACGATTAATCGACCACTAAATTAGTTGATAATTATTTAATTAAACTATTGATCACAATATCTGAATCAGCCTTAAATGTAACAATGTTGAGAACTAAAAAAAATCAGTTTGGTAAGTGGAGCACGAACAGTTTAAAAGTAAAATATGTTTCAAAGGCAGAAGCAACTTTACTCAAGATAATAGTGCTAATCCAATTACAGGGCTTGTAATAGGAACTGTTCAGTCATCATTTTAATTACCCGGTCCGAATCCGAGGAAGGAAGCTTCTCAGTTAGTGTACAAAAAGAAGTAAAAATCTTTACGAATTAACAGAATTTATTCTAGTCGTGATTAACAAAAAACCTTGATATAATCAAAAACTGCAGAGGAAGTCTAAACCTTTTGTTTTAGGGCTGCTTTCTCTCGTCCTTAGCTGACGGGCCAGCAAAATGGCGCAGAACTAGTAAATATTTTGCAATTCATCCAGAAATGCTACACCCAGTCAGGAGGTGCCTCTTCTAAAGTCTCAAGCTTCAGTCTACTGCCTTTCTCCCGCTGACCACAGCATTAGCAGACTGTATAAGGTGATGCTAGACCCTCTCTGGTCATTATAGACATTGGCATTGGAGGCTCATTCTAGCTGACTTACATAGAAAGTTTACAGACAACAGTTATTTAAAGCTGTTAGTAAAGTACTTACTTAAAAATAAAATTAAAAGAAAATAGTCTTCAACAGAACACATATTGTCTTACCTTTTTAAAAGTATTATTGTTTAAAGGAATTATACCAATACTTTTGCATTTTTCAGTCTTGAAATACAAGAATAAAATTCTTTGTTAATGAGTTTAAAATTTGGTACAGTTTGTGTTTGAAGTGTTAAACTATTCTTTTTTGGAATTTAAAATATGTAAATCCTATTATGACTGTGTTTGTTTAGGTTAATTGTGCATTGTCTGAAGATTCATCAAGCCATATGTCATTATTAATTAGTTTGATGTTGATGAGTTTGATGTCAGAGTAATGTTCATTTCCTATCAAACTTTTCACTTTGATTTTAATGTTGTGTACTTCTCAGGTGCTGGTGAGGAGAACCCTTATCCTCTTCAGACGGAGAACTACGGTGATCTGTTTGGCCCAAACTACATCAAAGAACTCTCAGACTGGTCCACACAGCAGCAAACACTAATGCTGTAGCTGTTTGGATCCTCTTTTCTATCTTTATTTAACACTTATTTGTTGAGTTAGTGATTTCCCGTAAATGCTTCTGTGTTTTCCTGTTTCTGCTGCACGGACTACTGAACAACAGCAAGGAAATAAAGTTGGGGCCGATATTATAGCCCTGTCAATCACTCAATTCTGGGAACGCTGCAATAACAGGATCTGGTTCCAAGCCAAGCATTGCGGCTGCTGCTATCATCATATGTGTTCACTGTGGTTCAGTGACTCACACCCATGAAAATGACACCAAGCTTGCAGCGTAGCTTTCAGATAAAAAAATAAGATCAGATTTAATCCCAGCAAAAGATATGGTATCGATCTCTACTCTCAGGCTGTCACAATGCTTAAGTTTATGTTTTTATATGCAATTCATAATTTGTTTATTTCTTTATGACTACGAAGAAAGTTAAACAACATTTTATTAAACAATGTACAAACAAATGTGATTCTTTGTCTTTTTTTTTTGTAACTGTGTTTTAAGTTGTTTTTTTTTTTCTTTTAATTTCCATAACAGATGTTCCTTCTTAGGACTGTGAAGTGTAAATGATAAAGAATTACAAAATAAAATTGTTTTGTCAATGTTCCAGTTTTGACTTCTGACTTTGTTTTACTAATATGCATTATAGGTAAAGATTGAGTGTTAGTATAACTTCTTGTTATTCATTTAATAGATTTTAGTCCATATTTTATAAAAAACAAAGTGCTGCAATTAAGAAGAGATAATTCCAAAACAGGAAGCAGCATTATGAATGACCACCATCTACTGTCCATCTGATTTGAAGCTTCAAATAATATGATCTTTAATGAGTTTAAAAGTGCATCTGCTGAGGCTTGGTAACAAAGATTCAATTTTCAGCTGGCCCATTAGTAACCGACACTTAACCGGGCAGAATAGTAGGCAAACAAAACATGACCTGACAGAGCTATGGTTACACTGACTTCTAGATTCTCAAGCAGCGTTTTATTCAACATTGCAAATCTTACATGTTTAAAATTAACATGTAATGTTTGAAAACATTCATGTAATCATTTCTCTACTATTTCTTTTTTTTTCCAGCCTGCAGCTCAGCAAATCAAGACACATATTAAAAACAAAAAAACTTTGGGATGTTTTATTCTGATTAAATTTCTGAATGCACCTAAAATTGACTAAATACCTTACAGATCAATGAAAGTAGATCTAAACTTGTGACTGCATGAAAGTGGACATCCTTTTGGCCACATCACATTCTGATGAGCTCTTAAACGTGAAGAATCGTCTCCCCTTAGTCAGCATTGCCAGCTAGGTAAAAGACTTGGCTTCATCGCTAAACCACCTCCCCCGCAGGATTGCAACCAACAGCAGTTCCCCAAAATGTTCATAGTGGTGGCCTGTTAGGGACCAATGAGCTGTGCTAATAAGCACAGAAATGTATTCAGGGTCAATATTTACTGATCACAATGAATCAACAGGTAAATTAGCACACATCTATATTTCCAAATAAATCACTGAAGATAGACCAGATTTCCATGAAGCCCTAGCTAATAAAGCTAAACACATTTTTAAACATAATTTTTAAATAAATTTATAATTATATATATATATATACATACATACAATACGATGGTATGGTTTGTGGGCTGAAATTGGGCCTCTATAGCGGTTTCTCTGGTCCCCTGAAAAAAGATATCTGACATAAAATAAAAAATATGTGGACAATGTGGCTGAACTGCAAAATAAATGGGAGCAAAGTTATAATATCAGAACAATTCAGTTTATTTCTATCATGCCAATTACAAAACGTCACACTTTACAGTGACAAATAGATCATCCAGTCAGGTTGATTCAAAGTTTTCTATCCAAGGAAAATCAGCTCATTACACTCATTGACTTTGCATAATACAGCCCCCTGGATGAGCATACGGCGACAGTAGACATTCATTTCATTTTGTCCTTGATTCAATCATTGATGCAATCCCTCACACAGAGCATGCATGCCATGACAGTGGAGAGGTACTATGGCATATTCATTTGTTGTGAATTATTAATTGGACATTTAAGAGAAAGGGAGCTCCAGCAGAGCCAGGCTGAGTGTGAGAAGCCTTCTACCAACTAAGGGCTTAAGAACACAAAGACATACAATGGATCATAAAAGCATTGATCTAAAAATGCTTAGAAAGGGTGATGGTAGACAAACTCCATTATTGGCTCTGGCTAGGAAAGAAGCAGTAGTCCAGCTCTGAGCACATAACTGCGTCCAAGAGAGAAACAGGACTAAGCACTGAAAAACAGGCCCAACTCATCTATAATCAAAGGTGTTGATAATAGCAGTGCGCACCTTTTAAATAAAATGATAAAAGCAAAAGCTCTATTTACACTGCTGCAACCAGGTCTTTTTAAAAAGCGATAGCGCTGAAGTGGTTAGATATAAAAATGGGTTCGTCACCCCTGAATTAGACATTAGCTAAAAAAAAATAAAAAGAACAGCTGATGTCACTGTGCAGATTAGGTGCTAAAAGAGCTGCTTCGTCTCAACAGCAGAAATGATCACGTTCTGCCTCACATCATCGCTCACTGATCAGGGAAAGGGGGCGTTTGTTTGTTTGACTAGTGAAGTGTGCTTAAGGTAGGGTCTTCCAAGAGGGAGCAGGTAAAGATAGCTCCACATACATCTGTCTTGGTCATTTCTTTTTTCCAGGACAGGGAGGGTCTGCTGCTCCGTAACAGAATTCATGAGGATTATTCAGAAATGTATAAATCAAGCGAATAATTACTCTGGGCAGGAATATGATGGAGTATCTTTGTCATAGTTTAGAGCTCAAGAAAATTCATTTTTGCTCCATATAAGCCCTTTAAAGAACTGATATATATATGGTAAATGAGCAGTAGATAGCTGTCCAGGTAACTTTGATACTTGTATCATAATGCACTCACAGCACTAAATCCTGAAGTTGAGATTTGCGCTTGCAAATCAGTTTAAGAAACAAGGAGAAACCTTATTATGATTCCATTTGATAAGGACTGATAATTACTTGTAGGCGCTTTCAGTGCATGTGCTGTTAAAAGGAATGAGATCTGTTTTGTTTTTGTTTTCTAACTTAGGCAACAGTAACATACTCTTTAAGAAGTAGGTCAAAATATTTTAACGAGCTAATTTTGTCTGCTAATTATGAGAAAACATATTTTCTACTGGTAATTAGTCTTCATATTAACTCGACTCCACCGAAGGACCATGAAACACAATACAGGGTGGTCAGACAACATATAACATTTATTTATTTACTCATGTAGAGGGAAACAAAAACAAACAGTTGAATATCCCTTTAAAAGTGGGAACTACATGAAGTTAAATCCTGAGAAAAAAAAAAAGAAAATAAAACACTGTGCCAATTCTACCTTCCCTGCAAGCTTTTACAAAAAAAGCAAATATGCACGAATGTGAATACATTTATATATTTATATCACGCATTTATCACTTTGATACATCACATATACAGCATCATCATAAGTCATGACAGGTTCCCTCAAAAACAAAACGGGATTTTTATTTATTTATTCTTTTAAATCACATTCAAGCAGTCCAATAGCACAGCCTGCTGGTCATATAAATGTACTGCAGGGCCGGTTTTCTTTAATGATTTAGGGGTTAAAATTGTTTATATTAGTCTGTTTTACAGAGCAAACTACACAGCCAATTAGTGTAAAAAACGAATAAAAAAATAAATAAAAAAAAACAGCTGTTCCAGAAACTTTTATTTTAACTCTGACTAGACTCAATTTAATTAAATCTGTCAGAAGATTTAAGAGTGTCAAACTTACAATTAGACTGCATTTTCTACCAGCTGGTACCAGTGTTAAAAATTGAATTCCTTTGTACCATCATCTTTTAGCATGCTGCACGAAATACATTCAACACATGTGTAAAAAGTCAATCCTTGGGTACACACAAAGAAAATAAAATATGTATTGTGAAATTAAAGGCTGTTTGCTTCATCTCTGATTAATTATTACACAATTATTGGTATGAAGATAAGAACAAAACAAAGCTCTATCTCAAGTGAAAAAAGAAATAAGAGTTTTACAAACAAAAGACATTAAATCCACCCTGATCACTGAAGAACCAGCAGAATCAGACAATAGCTGCATTTGTTTACTTTTCCCATTAAGAGAAAAGGTTGTGTGCTTGTGGAAAAGGCAAATCCTTTGGAGAGCAAGAAAACACTACAGCAGTGGAAGAGAATGTTTACCTAAAGGATAAGAGAGTAATACTTTTTGTAATTATAACATATTAAAACTCTACATGAGAAATTGACATAACTAGATACAAACATATGACAAGGCTGAATTGAAGGGAACAAATAAAGAAAGGGATTACATGTCAGATAGCTGAGATTTCTCTGTGTGCTGGTGAAAGATACAATCAGTTACAATTAACCAGATGAACCTACATCAAGTCTGTCAACAACAGAAAACCTAACCCTCCTCGGAGGGAGTATCTGCATTAAGATTATTTGCCTACAGTTGGTGTACAGTTTGGAAAAAAAAAAAAGGAATGTATTAAATTTTCTCTAAAAACACTAGAAGGTTTGTTGTTTCAGCAAAATGTTCTAACAAAATAAACATGACTTCAGAAGGCAGAACGGAGAGCTTTTCATTTAATAAAATTCTATGCAGTTTCAATCTGAACGCTTAAAAAAACAGGAAAGAAATGGAAGAAAAGAGGTTCCTAAGCAAGTGTCGGTGTACATTGTATGGTCCAGTGTATCCACTCGTTTTCAAGTTTATCATAAAAACAGCAACCTTCAACCCTGAAAGTGACTCAGAGAAGCAGGAGAAATTCTCAGAATAAAAACCTCAACATGTTTGTGTCGCTTACTTTTAACCTGTACTTTAATAAACCTCTGAGAGAAAAGAAGGAAGCTGAATGTTCCATATATCCAGTGGCCCAGCCACCATGAGGTCCGTCAACAAATCTAATAAATTACAGGCATCCAGTGGGCTACAACAGCAAATATTTCTGAAAACTCCCCCCCATGCATACACACAAGCATACATCTGACTGACATTATGAGCTCTCTAAACAGCTTTATCTACCCTCAACATTTGCTCTTTACAGTGCAACAATATGGCAACAAATGGATAGCAGTGCTTTCATTAAAAAAACAAAACAAAAAAAAAAAAACAGGAGGAATGAACGATAAAACTATGTACAGCATCCTGGAAAAGCAGAAGTTTCATTGTTTGGTCTTGGGTCTGTTACAGACGGAACTGCTTTTTCCTTTTGTATGTTTTTTTTACTCTTCCTTAAAACAGTAGTTTTCATGAGGTTGAAGAGCTGTGAAAAAAATACAAAAAAAAAGGTGGAATACACATTAAAAAAATAAAATAAAAAAATCACATATATGGAGGTTAATTTAACAGTTATGTTAAATTTGTTTCATAAAAAGGATCCAATTTCAGAAGGTTTACTCGACTTAAAGCACTTCTTATCTCTAAACATGGAATTTGTTATTCTATATCCGCTCGGACACAACAGATTCAAAAAGCGACTAAAGGAATATCAGAAGGGAGTAAAAAACATGACAGTCCAACAACATCAAAGAAGCCAAGTCACAGTTTAGGAGCAGGTATGTGATTTTAAATTTAATAAACTACGTAACACTTTTTACTGACAGCTGAGTAACTGCCTCAAGATAAACTGAGGCGGCTATCAGCAAAGCAACGCTTATCGATCCCAGGGAAAAGTCCAGTGATTCCTTCACAGAGGGAGAGAATTCCCCGCAGTAAATCAGGACCATAAACAACGTAAATTTGCATTGCAAGTTTCCCCACAGACACACAAGAGCAGCCTGAAGTTGTGTGGCATCATATGGTCTGACATGACCTGGGTGGAGTCAAAACAGAGACTGTCTGATCTACAGTAGATATTTATTCATGTGTTTGTCTTTGTTGAATTACAAAACCACATTTTGTTTGGAGTTATCATTTTACACACCGCAATAAAGAGAGAGGAAGCAAAAGTGCTTTCATAGAAAAAGGCCAGATTAAACGTTGCAACCTACTTATCACTCTTTATCAAGAATGCTGCACTACTCTGATAAGAAACTTTTTTTTTTTTTGTATTTTCACACACCAAAGCCACATGCAAATATTTGAGGACAATTGATGTTTCTTATTGCTTGTTTTCAAGAAGCTAAATCAGACAAAGTATAAATAAAAAGCAAAAGAGTAGTAAAGGCAGGAGAAAACCAACCAAAAAAGCTAATCTCACCTTGCTACAACTGAGAACCCTCCGAACCTCCATGTGTGTAACCTCCTTTGGATTTCATCTGGGCCTGAACGAGGTCTACCTACAAAGAGACGGGAATGTCAGAGAGCTGACGACCACGGCCGATAAAACCATGAACAGTGCAGAAAAGCTTACTGATGCCAATCCAAGGCCCATATCCCCTGAGCCTACATGTGTGGTGTGAACAAAATTTGTTGGCTCCCCGATCATGGAGCGGTCGATTCGTCGCCGCCGTTTCTGTAAAAAGCAACCAAATATATTCTGTCAAACCTTTGGAGCTAAACTTGTCTTGTGTCTTTATATGTGGATATAAATGAAACAGTAGTTGCTACTGATACTCTACATACATCAGAAGGGGTGACACAAACAATTAGAGAATATTCAAAAATATTACAAAGGTTAGGCTAAGCACATCTACTAAGAGGTCTATCAGCCTCCTCTGCTTTATCTTTAGTTTCCTCTACACTTCAAGAGTAGAATATTTTTGACATTTAAACCAGTTGTAGACTATTCCTATTTAATTTCTACACAGATACCTCACTCCTGGTTCCCTACATACTCCATTATGCTATAGCTATTATAAAGAAGTATTCAGAGTATTAATTTTTCAACTTCCTTCCTACAAAATGCCTCTTTAACCTCTAAAATCTGAAACTGCATTTACAGGCTTTAAGCAGAATGCTTAGGGATAGACTTCTCCAGATATGTCACCGTCATTGCCTTGATTCCTCTTTTTAAAAAAGGCATATAAGCATCATTAAACTTTAAGCAAAATCAGTTACTCTTCAGAGGAAATGTCACACTCACTGGTTGTGGCTGCTCTGCAATGCAGCAACTGAAACAAACCCAGAACTCAGTCATTCTGAGGCAGACGAAGAAGCCACAGCAGTTTCCTCTCTCAGCTCAGACGCCTCTCTGCGTCTTTCTTCCTGCTCGCCGTCGCCTGTCACAAACACCCACCGGAAATTGCTGACAGAAGGGCTGCTGGTTTCTCCGTGGTAAATCTATTGGCAGAAGAACTGCTCCTCAAAAAACAAACCAAAAAAAAAAAAAAATATATCCACAAAACAACGGGGGCGAACACACCTGTTGACACAGTAAAAAAAAACACATGAATATTTCAATCATACTAAACTACTGTGGCAATAACATATTGGCAATTTGTTTATTGGCTTTCTGTATCGTAACTGGCAGTGACCTAGCTCTTTGTCTGTGGCAAGGGGACTTCTACTGAAAACGCCCTTTACTTACCAGATGCTTGTTCTCGTATTCCCTTTGTTTTGACACAGGATCACTCAGCTGTTCAATATTTCAGTGGATAATCACAATTAAACCATTTAGATTTCTTTAAGCATAGGTTTCAGTTTTACAAAAACATCCCTTTGAACTAGAAAGCGATCAAGTCCTCGTGCTGACATAACATACTGGATTATTTATTGTCAAATGAAAGTTTAAAACTGTTTAAAAAGCGAAAGAGAGGGTGAATATTCCTGATTTAAGGCGTAGCTCAAACTGTGTTAAATATGAAAAGGTACATGGGGAGTGACAGAAACTAAAATGTTTCAAAGGATGCGTTGAACTCCTACAGTGTTAACCTTCAGGGCTCCTTCTGATTCAAATGTTAAATGCTTTGAGTAGGCATAAAAAAAGAAAACATAAGGAATACCCTTCTTTTTTCTCCTCTCTTTTTAACCCCAGCTGGCAAAACATGTAGTTTCACATTATTCAAACATCTGACAATCCACATGTATCAAACATTACTGGATCTCATAAAAGTATGTGTTTAAAAAAGGAAAAGCATGCCATGTGTCATCATAAATATAAAAGCTTAGCATCCGATTCCCGGAAGGAAACACACAAACCAAAAATAGTCAAATATATTTACGAGCAGAAGAGTGTTTTAGTAAATATTTCAGGTTTATCTTCTACCTGTGTATTTGAGCCTCTGACTATACAGAAACTGTTCTTAAGGTAAATTGTGGAGATTCTATCAATTAATACTTAATGTTAGTTATCTCAGCTGTTCAAAATCAGTTAAAAGACATTTGTTTCCAAATGACGTAAGAACTCAAGTCTCTCTATTAGTAGGTTTATTCACTGTAACTTTTTTAAGATTTAGAAATTGGATGACCACCCTTTCACATTATTTCCCAACATATATATATATATATATATAAACAACAAAAAAAACTGGCTCAGCTATTCTTGCTGCAGACAGTGAAGGGAGGATCAAGTGTTACCTCAAATGAAAAGAGTTTGCTGACAAAGTAGCAGAAAGAACTGAGTAACTGACAATGCAGCTGACAGCACACTTGGCTGACATTGAAGTGACAGTTTGCTCTCAGTGGTGAAGAAACATACAGCCATTTGTTACAGGAGTGTATAAAAGCTTAAAGTTTCACAATAAAACATTTCCTTAAAGGATGAATCATTACTGCGCTTGGTTTAGGCGTAATAGACATTTACAAACAAATTAGCGTTATGTAACTACGCGCCGCTGCGGCAAAACAGACCCCCCCGTCTTCAATTGATAAATATGGTTAGATTTATGAACAGACTCTACCACATTTTATCAAAATTAATTTCTAATATCATTTATGTGCTGACTCAGATGACTGTCAAAAGCGAGCTGGGGACAGTTGTCAGCTGCTACGAAAGTTAGCTTACATGCTAACCTCGCTAGCAACCGAAGCTGAGTTTTTTTTTCTTCCTTTTTGACAGCTACTAGCCGAGCAGGCTAACTGAGCTAACCTCCAAGCAGCAAAACAAGAACGGGAAACAAATGCTATGGTTAAAACAGACATTCGCTCATATAAATATCAATACTGAAGATTCCATACGTTTTTTGTTTTACTGTTTTTAAGAAGATAAACTCACCAGAAGGTGGCCGGTGTACCGGAGCGAAAGGCAGGCTCGACCTAAAAATGAAGAATACCAAAAAACCCGGAACTCTGCCTACAGTTTACGCAAGAGGACTTCCGCTTTAAAGTGTGACGACTTCCGGTGAGACCCACGTTTTTTACTTGCATTCTCACATTCTCTGCAGTATAGGACGTTTTGTATCCTAAAGAAATGAGACCTTTAACAGAAGAGGAGACGAAAACAATGTTTGAGAAGCTGTCAAAGTAGTAAGTGACCTCATATGATCTTTACTGGCCCGAAAGGGCGCCATTTTTAATAATATATTTATTAGCATGTGTGTTAGCCTGTGTGTGATCTGTGTGGTTTCTCGTCCAAAAGCATAGGGGAAAACATTAAACTTCTAGTGGACCGACCCGATGGCACCTATTGCTTCAGGCTACACCAGGACCGTGTGTTTTACATGAGGTAATTACTGGTTCATAACATTTGCTTCATGATATTCAATGCAGCTAACTCTTACTGTTAGGAATGAGCATCATTCTTATCCGCATTACTACAGAAATCTAACTTCAAAACAATATTGTTCAAATGATTTTTTTATTTAAGTAGAGGACATAATAACAAACGATACAAAATGCATCTTTAATTGAATGAAAAATGAACCCTGGGCTGAAAGACTTTAACATCACAATCATATTTTAGTTTGGACTTTGACTAGACCACCTAAATTTGAATCTTCTTGTGTGTATTGTATTATTGTGTCATTTTGTGGGATAAGTCAATGGCTGGACATTCTTCTAGCTCTGGTAGGAATCAGTACTGCAAGTCATCCAGGGGATAGAGCAATCCCACAGCATTACACTTTCTACTCCATGTTTGACTTTAGGTATAGCTTTATTTAAAAGGCTGTGCTGTAAACGGATGCACCCCCTTAAATGAGTATTACATTTTTTTAAATTTATTTTCCAAATCAGACGAAAAGTATTTGGCCAGGTCTTGATAATCATCATAACATTTTTTAGCAATTGTGAGATAATTCTTTGTCATCCTTTTGATAATCTTTCAGGCAGTTTAAATACCCAATAAATCTGCTACACTTTTGCCATTTGTTGTGTGATACACTACTTTAGTTGCTTAGATGTCATCATTCTATACTTGTTTTCCTTTTTAAAGTTGACAGCTCTGCCGTTGATTAATGGAGAAGCTTACGGTACTTTGAATTGTTTTCTGTCCACAGTGAGAAAATTCTCAAATTGGCCACAAACTTTTCCAGAGATAAGCTGATTTCAGTGGGTACGTGCTTTGGGAAGTTCACAAAGACCAAAAAGTTCCGCCTGCACATCACCGCTCTGGATTTCCTGGCTCCGTATGCAAAGGTGGGTGTCATGCCTGATTGCAGTATTCATTCCCATGGCAGTAGGAGTGTAGAGTTAAAGCAGAAGCATCCCGGCTTATATTAGAGTTCATGAACACGTCTTCATTTATTTTTTCAAAACTTTTTCCTAGGTGTACACAACTAATTGAAATTGTAAAATCAACTCTTTAGCATATTATTTATTAGCCACACGGGAGATATGTACCAATGCTTAACAGAAACGCTTCAAATAATTTGCATTAATATTTATGATCAATTAGTCATATATTTGTCTGTATCAGAAATACAAATCAATATCCTCAAAGGTCTGTGAGTGTTTGCACTTGTTGAATGTGGCCTGGTGAAGTTCTTATTAAAACGCAGCTGTCCCTAAGTAACAGCATACTGTTGACTGTACAAACCTCAAAATCAGAACATTATCTTTCCCAAAGCTTTAGAACTCCACATCTGTACCTTAAGATAACATTTGCTCATGCACAAATCAGTAATTTGAATCTGTCATGTTCTCAGTTCAAGGTGTGGGTGAAGCCTGGAGCAGAGCAGTCTTTCTTGTATGGGAACCATGTGTTGAAGTCTGGCCTTGGCAGAATTACTGAAAACACCATGCAGTATCAGGGAGTAGTGGTGTACTCCATGGCTGACGTACCTTTGGTAAGTTCATTTTGTAACCCAGTGTTTGACATTGTCTAGATTTAAAATATTACAAAAGTCACAGATTATTTTTTTAACTGGTTTTTAATCAAACTCCATTAAGATTTTATTATCTATATGTGATTTACAGCCCTTTTCTTTTGGAGCATTTAATTCACTTACATTAGATTATCATTTAAAATTTGAACTTAAAATAATGTAGGTAGAAGCTATGCTTACAATTTCTGAAAAGCATTTTTCATGCCTGAGACCACTCATCTGTAGTGATGAGCTCCGTATCTCTGAGGTTCAAAGGCCTCTATTCCATCACTCTCATTTTAAGCTCTGTCTTCAAAAAAAACTTTATATTTTTGTCAGAAGACTATTTCGGGAATCACTTTTGCTGTGTTTTTAGTCATTTTCATGCTAAAACGCCCAGGCTGACTCCCAAAGAGGTTCCTAAACACTAACCCTGAGCACAAATACTCCGTTTGTGAATTTCCGTAGAGGATCTGCCACAATAAGGGTCCTCCCAACCACATAGTGGGTAAGGCCAGTGGAACGTTCAGCCCTTAAATAGCCAGTCTGCATTAGTTGCAGGCTTGCAGGAATTCTGCAGCAGGTGTGACAGCAGCCTAGTGGCGAAGGGAGTTCAGTCAAATGTAAATTCCCCTGGTTTGCTGCATCACTGGCAGAAAATCTAAAGTTAGTTTAAAAAAAAAAAAAAAAAAAAATCAAAATTAGGATTCAGCCCGTTTTGTCCAAATCCAAGTGTCTCTAAAGCAGGTATCACCAATGTTTTTAGGGCTGAGGGCTACTTAACCATGGGAAGGGCTACCAATACTGACCTATGAACTGTTTATGTATAATACCGCATGCATAATAAACATTTTTTTTTAACTCCTAATTTTCTTTATATTATTTTGAAATCTCTATTAACGCTTAATTGCTCTTTATGATTACAATGATGAAATGCTCTAAAATGATTAAAAAAGAAGAGCAACAGAATAAAATAAAATTTCAGTCTGGTGAGTCGTGCAGTTTACAGAAGATGCTGTGGGTACCCTATGTGGCCCCTTATTGCCTGCGTGCACCGCGGTGGTGACCCCTACTCTAAAGACTGCTTGATGAAGCAGGTGTAGTCTTCTACAGAGACATCTCTATTCAGAGATGTAGAGGATTTCAATTAGGTTGCGCGCCCAGTAGGCAAAAAATACCCAGAAGAATTGAGAGGATGGGGGATGGTTTCATGCTGTTCAATGTTTCTCCTCGCATTTAAAGTGCAGGCATTTTTGTGGCTGAACAATTCAGTTTCGTTTAATTTAAACAAAAAAAAAAATAAAATAAAAAATAAAACAGTGCCAAAGGTCATTCTATGCCAACTGAAACCTGGTAAAGGCTAAGTGGGGATTTTTATTCTTAGATGTGGCTTCCTCCTTTTGTGTGCACCCCTGGCCCAGATCTTCAGGATGAGCCTTGGTGTTGATCCCTGGACCTTTTTTTTTCCAACTACTGGTACTAGTGAAGGCATCTGAGCCAATTTATTACAAGCATAAATTGCCACACGCCAACTGTAGAGAACAGCTGTTTTTCTGTCTTCTGAGAGAAAAAGAGCTGTTCCAAGTTCATCAACAATAATTGGAGTGCTTTAGAGCAATATAGACCAGAGGTCACGGATTAGTGGACTGGGGTCTGGATGCGGACCCTCCTGCTGGCTAATCTAGACCCAACCTGATTTAAAACATTTATAAATTACTACACGTTTTCAGACGACAGTGTCTAACTTCACTTGTGCCGCTTCTCCTGTTAACATGGTAAAGCCATTCAGAGCGTCCGGGAACAGGCTGCACGTGATTCAAATTAGCTAATGAGCTGTGTCAGTTTTGGTTGCCACGGCTAGCCACTTTTAGACACAGCAGGGGAACCTGTGGCAAGCTGGGTGGTGGAGAAAAAAGGAGAGGACGATGAGAAAAAGAGTGCAGTGGAAGTGTGGACTGCTGGAAGAATCGCGGTGAAATTGTGAAAGAAAAGTGAAATGGTGTGCTCTAATCTGACCCTGCACATTTCCAGTATGTTTGGCTCAACCTGCTGCTGTGAAACAGGATTCCCCACCATGACCATAATCAAAAATCATATTGATCCATGCTCACTAATGAGAACCTTGATAAGTGCTTTAGAATGGCACAGCCTTGCAGGGCAGCCTAAATCCCACTTCTCATTAAGCCATAAAAAAGAAAGGGGGGGGGGACAAATGGTTATTTCAGGGTTTTTTTTGTTGTTGTTTTTTTTCTATGTGAATCAGGCAATCATCTGTGTACCAAACTGAATGATTGTTGTTCTCTACTTAAAAAAAAAAACACTTTAGATTTTAAGATGGAAAAATTTTCTAGTTGTTTGAAATATATTTAAAAAGTCATTGTATAGCATGGATGCAAAAGCATTTTATTTCAATGTTAAATGCTGTGTAAAGGATCATAATGTAAATATCTCAAGACCTTTACTGGCTGTTGATTTTCTTTATTTGGACCTTGTGATTTTTAATTGTTTACCCCTGGTATAGTCTATTTGTAATGATAAAGGACCTCTCATTCCCCCCATTGACTTCTGTCAAATGTTTTTTTTCCTCCTGAAATTTAGGGCTCTTACCAGCACATCTATATCCTTCCTAGTCCGAAAAAATGTGTTGGGTAGATCAAGATGATTTTAAATCTAAACTGTACTTTAAGAAGCAGACATATGTCAAATTTTGTCTTTTACTAAAGGTTTTTATGAATATCTTTTCTTATATTTTTTTTTTTTGTCAGGGTTTTGGAGTAGCTGCCAAGTCCACACAGGAGTGCCGGAGAGTAGACCCCATGTCCATTGTTGTGTTCCACCAGGCTGATGTGGGAGAGTTTATCAGGAGTGAAGAAACACTGACATGATGTAGCAACAGGATGGAAATTTTTTTGTTTTTGTTTTTTTTGCCACGTTTTTGTTGGTGTGTAATACTTAACATCTGTTTTTTTTTTACTTTGGAAATCTGTAATTGTGGGTCTTTCATAGAATCTTTCCATTAAAACATCCAACTAAAGGTAGTTTTATGTGTGGATCTTTTTCTAAATGTTTTTATCTTAATAAATCAGTAATAAAGTAGCACTGATTTACTTTACCACATCTCTAGGAGAAACTTGGAGTGAATGAACTTATCTATATTATACCTGATGTCTGGAGAACCACAAGTTAAAAGTCAGGGTAACAACAAAGACAGAAAATCTGCAAGTGCAAGGCTTTTCTAAAGGTCCTTTAAAATAATTATTTAAGCATTTTTTGTTTTTTTCTTTAGTTAGTGTTTCAGTGGAGTTGTCTCAAAATCAGAAAATTGTAGGCTTGATTCCAGCTTCTTCCTCATGCCGGTCAATGTTCCCCTAGCAAGGCACTTAATGATCCTGATCTAGATGTGCTGGAGTGCTTCTAGGAGAAAGTGCTTTAAGTGGTAAAGATAACTAGAAAATGAATGTCTAAATTCAGTCTTAACATTTTTTTCCATACAAGTCAGCAGAAAACAATAACAAATTCAAATCCTGTTATTTTATGTTGTTGGAAAGAGACATTGTATAACCATGATTTTTTTAAAATTTATTTTATCACAGTTTTCAGACCATAAACCCCCCCAAATGGCCTCGGGAATGAATGAACAAAATCAACTTAAACCAAGTTTTTCTTTTTCATTGTCCTCCACCGGTCTTTCAGGTTCACGTTGGTTCGGTTTTTAAAGGGGAAGTGAGCCTTGATCCTGCTCCAGTTACCCTCTCCAAACCTCTTGACCCCTTCTCTTAGCATCTCCGTCTCTTTCTCAGTCCACTCCTGCAACAATTTCATGAAAAAAGTTGGTGAGCTTTCTGTTGCTTTGAAAAGCTTAAAAAAAAAAAAAAACAAACATTTGTTCTTCATGTTGTGGATGTAACCTTCTGAAATTAAAATGTTTGCTCAAAAGTTTGGACACACCACCTTCGAAGAGTTTTCTTTATTTCCATGACAATGGAAATTGTAGATTCACAATGAAGGCATCAAAACTATAGATTAACACGTGGAATTATATACTTAACAAAAGTGTGAAACAACTTAAAATATGTCTTATATTCTAGGTTCTTTAAAGCCACCTTTTGCTTTTGTTAATGCTAACCACACTCTTGGCATTCTCTTGATGAGCTTCCAGAGATAGTCACCTGAAATAGTCACCTGAAATGGTCTTCCAACAGTCTTGAAGGAGTTCCCAAAGATGCTAAGTTTTGCCAATTTTTCTGACTGACTTTCATTTCTTAAAGTAATGATGGCCCTTCGTTTTTCTTTACTCGGCAGTTTTTTTTTTTCTTGCCATAATACAAATTCTAACAGTCTATTCAGTAAGACTATCAGCTGTGTATCCACCTGAATTCAACACAACACAAATGATGGTCCCAACCCCATTTATAAGGCAAGAAAGCACACTTATTAAACCTGACAGGGGACACCTGTGAAGTAAAAACCATTTCAGGGCACTACCTCTTGAAGCTCATCAAGAGAATATAAGTTTCAGTTGTTTCACACTTTTTTGTTAAGTATATTATTCCATATGGGTTAATTCACCGTTTTGATGCCTTCAATGTGAATGTACAATTTTCATAGTCATGAAAATAAAATAAAAAAAACTCTTTGAATACAGTACAGAACTCTGTTCTGTACTGTACCAAAAGAACTTCTCAACGTTCTGTACATATACACACAATACTCAAAAAAAATAAAGGAACACTTTGTAATCAGAGTATAGCATCAAGTTAATTAAACTTCTGGGATATTGATTTGGTCAGGTAAATAGCAGAGTTGTTAATGTTAATCAGTTTCAGCTGCTTTGGTGTTAATGAAATTAACAACAGGTGCAGTAGAGGGACAACAACGAGACGACCATCAAAAAAAAGGAATAGTTTTACAGGTGGAGGCCACTGACATTTTTTCCCCTCATCTTTTCTGACTCTTTTTCATCAGTTTTGCATTTGGCTAGGGTCACTGTCACTACTGTTAGCATGAGGCGCTACCTGGATCCTACAGAGGTTGCACAGGCAGTCCAACTCCTCCAGGATGGCACATCAATACGTGCCATTGCCAGAAGGTTTGCTGTGTCTCCCAGAACAATCTCAAGAGCATGAAGGAGATTCCAGGAGACAGGCAGTTACTCCAGGAGAGCTGGACAGAGCCATAGAAGGTCTACGACCAATCAGCAGGACCGGTATTTGCTCCTTTGTGCAAGAAGGAGCAGGAGGAGCACTGCCAGAGCCCTACAAAATGACCTCCAGGCCACTGGTGTGAATGTCTCTGACCAAACAATCAGAAACAGACTTCATGAGGGTGGCCTGAGGGCCCGACATCCTCTAGTGGACCCTGTGCTCTGGGTAGGCATGGAGGGACACACAGACCTGTACAGGCTGGACAACGGTACCCTGACTGCCATTGGGTATCAGGATGAAATCCTTGCATCCATTGTCAGACCCTATGCTGGTGCAGTGGGTCCTGGGTTCCTCCTGGTGAACGACAACGCCCAGCCTCATGTGGCGAGAGTATGCAGGCACTCCTGGAGGAAGAAGGAGTTGATACCATTGATTGGCCCCCACGCTCCCCTGTCCTAAATCCAATAGAACACCTCTGGGACATTATGTTTCGATCCATCCGAGGCCGACAGGTTGCACCTCAGACTGTCCAGGACCTCAGTGATGCCCTGGTCCAGATCTGGAAGGAGATACCCGGTGCCAACCGTCGTCTCATTAGGAGCATGCCCCGACGTTGTCAGGCATGCAGACACGCACGTCGGGGCCATACAAATGACTGAATACCATTTTGAGTTGCTGCAATGAAATTTCAGCAAAATGGACTAGCCTGCCGCATCATTTTTTCACTGTAATTTTTAGGGTGTCTTTGAATTCAGCCCTCTGTAAGTTTATAATTTTCATTTCCATCAAATGGTGTGGCATCCTTTTGTTCCTAACACATCACCCATTCCATATCAGTATAAAAAAAACAGTATGTTTTTTTGCCCATTGAGATCTGATGTGTTTTAAAAGTGTTCCTTTAATTTTTCTGACTGGAACTGGTAAAAAAAAATGTGGAAAAGGGGATAAACCCTATGAATAAACTAAATAAGTTTTTTTTTCAAAAAGGGAGACACCTTTTCATATATAGTGACAAAAACATGATATGAAAAATGAGTAAGAACCTTTTTCACAACACAGGATTTCACTCCAAATTTGGTTTTGGCAGATCATTTTTAAAATCACTGTTACAGCAAATCTCAGGCAATGTCATGCTTACCCTTTTCCTTTTTCCTGAATTTGAACCTTTATAAAAAAAAAATAAAACAAACGCAATTATTATTAAGAGTCAGATTTGAACAGCCTGATGAAGACTGATTAGATTCTGAGGGTTAAGGAAGTATTACCACTGTTCCCTAAGGAGGGGAAAAAGGATTCTTCGTCCTTCCATTCAACCTTGCTCCCTTCTGCATTTTTCATTAGGAGTTTTCTGTGAACAAGAACAGGTTTCCAATTGTTGAGATTTTTTTTTTTATATATATATATTTTGAAACCGGCATGACAAAATGACAGGTCCAGATAAAGATGAATACACATTTTACACTATTACTAACAGCAGCCTATTAGCTGTTTTACATTGCCGTTTTATCTCTTTACTTACAATTTTCTGTTAGCGCCTTTGTGAGGAGTGGAGTTTTTTTGAGGGACCTGATGAGAGGACGTATTTGGGGAGATGTCCAACGGAGAGTCTGGTAAACTTTCGATGCTGTCTACCTCACTGGATAGAAAGGAGCCAAAGGTTTGCCACAGAGACTCTTGAGTGCACCAATATTTTAGACCCAATCAAAAGATATTAAACGCAACTCAACTTACCAACTGGGAGAACCTCTGGATGGTTGTTCATCAGCTCTCTTCATTGGAGATCTGGAGGTGTTCAACTTCTCCTGTAGCTCTTCTTCATGTTCTGATGATACACTGGATCTGTTGGAATTTCTATTGTGAAAGTAAATCAGTTTTGTAAATTAAGGAAGGGTTTTCTCTGATGTGTCTGTTTTACTGTATCAGGCTTCGGTGCTGAGAGAATATAGTATGCAACGGCAAACAGGTAACTGATCCTATTCAAAAGATGGAAGCACCTCCCAAAGCTTACGGTCTAACAGTGTGTTAAGAATGATGCTGCATTTAATGTCATAACATCAGCTGATGATCTAATAATCTAATCTTGTCACCTTTGGAACATTAAAAAATATGGTTATTTTGATGTCAAAAATTAAAAAACCTACTTGCCGAATATATTAAGAAAAATAAAAGTGCTTCTAATTAAAATTCATGAAAAACACTGAGACTAAAAGAAACATTTTTCTTCAACATAAGCTTAGAGACTTTAATGCTGATACATGCACTTACATTTTTAGATTATAAACCTTAAAATAATTGTTTATTTAGGCTTATTAATTTTTTAACTTTACTTTTTAACTTTTCTTTCAATTTAATTTACAGTAGGTAATATATGATTCAAGGGCTTATCTAATTGTTTAAATGCCAAAATAAGATGTACAGCCATGTAGCAGAATCTTTGCTGAATGGCTGGATATAGATCTTGTGCTTCTAGACCTAACTGAAAGACAGAGGGGACTCCATTTTTAAGGGGTATGCAAGTGTTAAAAAATGGTAATTTACACTATAAAGCATTAATGTGTGGATTAACATGTCATCCTGCCCTCTACCCCTGTAGCAAAGAGCGTTAGCATCAGTGTTGGGCACGTTACTTTGAAAAAGTAATTAGTTATAGTTACTAGTTCCTTCTCCCAAAAAGTAACTGAGTTACTAACTGAGTTACTCCACACTAAAAGTAACTAGTTACTAGTAAAGGTAACTATTGCGTTACTTTGCGTTTCTTGACCCAATATCCCTCACCACCCAGCCCCCACCTTCTCGCCGTGTGTTTTAAAAGCCAGCTGAATAGAGTGGACGACAAAGACAAG